ACTGGATGACTTTGCCCACTTTCTTTTGCCCATCCAAATCCTATGTCCCTAATGGTCAGCCAATTTAAATAATTATTACCTTTACTGCAAGGCCTTTCTTCACCCTTCTGGGCACACTGATCCCCTTTCGCTAAGCTCCAATACTATACACCATTTCTGTAGCTCACTGTGGCTTTTATATATTGCTTTGCTTTTCATGCATTAGTCCTGCATACCCTGAGATGGGGATTTATAAAACCTTGTTTTTGTGTTTTCTGCAGAATCTAGGGCAAAACTAATCATAATAGATGTTCAATAGTTAGTAGTTACATTTTGGTAACTGCTCCATCAAACCCATTTATTTATATACACCTGACATAAAGTATATAGATTTCTCATTCTCGTTACAGATGTCTCATTAAATCCTTCCCATATGGTTTCCCTCAAACTGTTCTCTTCATCTTCTACCTATTTGACATGTTTCCTCACCTCCTATTTGTGCACAAACTTCTCTTTAAAATTCTAAAATGAGGCTGGGGATGTAATTCAGTGGTAGAATGCAAAGTCCTGGTTTCTATTCTCAGCACCATACATACAACAAACACACAAGAAAATTCTAAACTGATTTCTTCCTTTTCCCCTCACCTCCCTGACCTACATAAAATCTAGCTCTTTCTTGAACCTACTTCATCCCTTGGTACTCTATTCCATGGAGAATCTCCCTTTTCCTGTTCACCTGATTAAATAGTAAAGTAAGTAGTCAGACTCATCCTCACTTGCCACTGTTAATTTTGCCCCTCCTTTGAGCATTCCTACCATTTGTACTTACATCAGCAACTACTTTATCTCCCCTCCTCTCCTTCAAATTCTTCGTTCTCTTGACTCTCCACTGTGGAGCTGCATTCCCTCTCCACAGCAGCAACACAGAAATCTCAAACACTGGTAGCCTTTGAGGGCTCCAGCTATAGCTTCTTGAGCATCTCTAACTAAAACCACTTTAAAGCCATTTCTTTCAATTCCCAAACATGCCTTATTCATTTAATACATCCCTTTTACCAGGCTTTTTCAAAAGCTACTCCATGAACTAAGCAGACCTTGGATGGGGGCTGATCATTAAAAATGCAGATTCCTGGGTCTTGCCCATAGCTTCTAATTCAGTAGAGACAGAATTTTCAATCTTAGCTATACCAGGGAATTTTTAAAAAATTTAAAAAGATGCCTGAGCTCCATTTCCTGCATTTGGGCCTGGATAATGATATTTTCAAAAGTTCCCAGGTGATTCTACCATGATCAAAGGTTGTAAACTGGTGCCCTAGGGTAAGATACGGAATAAGGACCTTAGCATGCCACCAAAAGAACTCTCTGGTCAGTCAGGTTTGATACCATTGTATTAGGAACCTCCTGGTTAGAAATGGACTTCCTTCACATTTAGGTGGTTTTAGGATACATCAGTCCAGGGCTGCACTTTCCAGCATTCTCTCTCCCACTCCTACACCTTCTTTAAACCTCCAGGACACAGTTTAAACTCTAACTTGTGCTAGGATCATCATAGTCAGGCCTCCTTTTTTAATCTTAGTGAGCTGTCACTCTAAGTTGTTTCCACAATCTCATAGACAATGAGAGTGGTACAGTAACTTTGTGAAAAGCCACTATTATAGGGCAACTTGAATTGAGTCATAAACTCACCCTAGAGAGACAGAGTCATTACCTGGACAAAACAGAGGAATCACTAAAATGGCTGAAAGAAAAAGTGATACATGGCAATTAGGGTCCTAAACACTACTTAATACAGGAGCTCTGTTTAATACAGAAGGAGTCTGAAAAACAGTTGAACAGGCCACAAACTGCCTTTCTCAGCCCACTCAATCCCATCAAGTAACTAACCTGTCCCCAACACAAAAAGGCCTCCCCAACTCACTGGTAAACTCAGTGACCATCTCAGTTCTCCTAGGTTTCTTGCCCTTTAGAAGAACCAAGCACATATTTTATTTTTTTTATTTATTTTTTTATTATTCATATGTGCATACAAGGCTTGGTTCATTTCTCCCCCCTGCCCCCGCCCCCTCCCTTACCACCCACTCTGCCCCCTCCCGCTCCCCCCCCTCAATACCCAGCAGAAACTATTTTGCCCTTATCTCTAATTTTGTTGTAGAGAGAGTATAAGCAATAATAGGAAGGAACAAGGGTTTTTGCTGGTTGAGATAAGGATAGCTATACAGGGCATTGACTCACATTGATTTCCTGTGCATGTGTGTTACCTTCTAGGTTAATTCTTTTTGATCTAACCTTTTCTCTAGTTCCTGTTCCCCTTTTCCTATTGGCCTCAGTTGCTTTAAGGTATCTGCTTTAGTTTCTCTGCATTAAGGGCAACAAATGCTAGCTAGTTTTTTAGGTGTCTTACCTATCCTCACCCCTCCCTTGTGTGCTCTTGCTTTTATCATGTGCTCATAGTCCAATCCCCTTGTTGTGTTTGCCCTTGATCTAATGTCCACATATGAGGGAGAACATACGATTTTTGGTTTTTTGAGCCAGGCTAACCTCACTCAGAATGATGTTCTCCAATTCCATCCATTTACCAGCGAATGATAACATTTCGTTCTTCTTCATGGCTGCATAAAATTCCATTGTGTATAGATACCACATTTTTTTAATCCATTCGTCAGTGCTGGGGCATCTTGGCTGTTTCCATAACTTGGCTATTGTGAATAGTGCCGCAATAAACATGGATGTGCAGGTGCCTCTTGAGTAACAGTCTTTTGGGTATATCCCCAAGAGTGGTATTGCTGGATCAAATGGTAGATCGATGTCTAGCTTTTTAAGTAGCCTCCAAATTTTTTTCCGGAGTGGTTGTACTAGTCTACATTCCCACCAACAGTGTAAGAGGGTTCCTTTTTCCCCGCATCCTCGCCAACACCTGTTGTTGGTGGTGTTGCTGATGATGGCTATTCTAACAGGGGTGAGGTGGAATCTTAGTGTGGTTTTAATTTGAAGCACATATTTTCTTGACAGGCTTTTCACAGCTCTGAAATGCTTTCTCTCTCTCTGATAAATATATGTACGTATATGCTGACAAAAATTCTGTCATAAATTCTGTTATTTTTAAAAGCATCATTAAATAGACCAATAGCACCAATGCTGAAAGACCATATTAAAGCACCAGAAACTGCCTTCAGGACCTCAAGTTTTTCTATTCATTATTGCCTTCTATTCCAACTGTCTCTTCAAATTTTAATATGAGAGTTTAAAAAAAAAAAAACAAACTTTTTTGAACTCTATTCTTTTTGACTAAAGTATAAGCCCACAATCCTTTATTTACAATTCCAAAGTCCTACAAATTCTGAAGCAGAAATGTTTTTGTAACTTATTCAGTAGCAAAAACATGAATCTAACCTGAAATGACATGAGGCTGACTTTATCCCATTTAGCAGAACACACATGTATTGCTCTGCATCTTAAAATATACTTGATTATAGGGCCAGGACCTCACTGTGGGTATATAAATGGTATATGTACCAAATTACCTTAAAAAATCTAAAAAATTAGAAAGCCCCATGCGTTTCAGGTAACAGATGTTAGACCGGCATCCACACTGTATCAACTTCTGCAAATTTTTATTCAAACCAATCATTTCAATTACACACTGAGATACATAGGTTTTGGGAAGGTGCCTCAGAAATTAAACCCATTCATGTAATTGTTTCTATAAGCAGATGCATTTATTGCTTTAAACAGTCACCTTAGCAATGAACTGTTAGTACACCATGTGTGGGATGAGAACTTCCTATACAAGCTCTGAAAACCTAGGGGACCAACAGCAGGAACCAGGTCTACAGCAGGTGGGTACCAAATTCCTGCAAAGCTTTTCCCGGGGTAATCTCTAACCTCAGCTCCTTTACCCATCAATTGTGGTTACACTTTCAAACGGGTGCCATCACCGCCCCCAATTTGCTGAACTGATTAAATAATATAAAGGAGTTGTTTCAACAATTTCCAGTTATCACAGGCCTTAAACATTTTTGAAAAACCTACCAAATCAAAACATTATCCACATACTAATGCTTTAAAGAGGAGTGAGCTATTTTAATCAGTTCTTAGTCATTTAAGAGGGAGGTTTTAAGAAATTGAGTGCAAGTAGGAATTTAAAAAAAGGTATAATATTCCCTAAACTTTTACTATTTTGTCACGCACAGCTGCATGACGAGTTACAGCAAACTTTCAAAAAGTATTTAAATATTATGTCAAATGAAGAAAATCTCAAAATCAGAGGTTAATATTTTTTAAATTGTGTTCCAAAGTAACCAGAGTCACAACCACCAGTACAAATGGGGAAAGGGAAGGAGGGGACTGTCCCATGACATCATCTGGCAATATGTATTTGTTATTTTTTTACAATTTGATTTTTTTTTTATTATTCATATGTGCATACAAGGCTTGGGTCATTTCTCCCCCCTGCTGAGAGCGTCTTCCAGATAAACCTTCCAAAATCCATCAGGAAAATCATCCCTGTCAAGCCTAGGTAACCTGAGTTTCAATCAAAGGTTCAAAAAGCCACCCTCCCTTGGGTCACACGTCTGCATCACAGGAAAAATAAAACCATCACCGATGCATCTGCCTCCCACTACGCTGACGGCAACGTTAAGGTCACAATCAAGTGTGAAGGGGGAAGGGGAAGGGAAGCCAAGAAAGAGCGGAACCTCCGCGCCTGCAAGGCAGACAGGCGCCTCCGTGGAAAAACCACCCGCGCCTGCCTAACGGCGTGCGTCCAACACAGGACGCCGGCTCCAGGGCGCAGGTCGCGCCTTAGACAAAGTGAGGGGCAAACCCGACGAGACCACCGACACGTCCCGCGGAACCCGCCGCCCCTACCGTTCCCGGAGCGTGGAAGGTGCGGCTCGCGGGGTGCTCGGAGCGATCCACGGGGCACCGCGCTCTCGTTTCGGCCTCGGGCACCCGGACACCTTCCCTCCATCCCTCCCGACGCCCGCCGTCGGAGCTCCCCGCGGCCCCCGCTCCGCACCTACCGCGGTCGCGCTGGCGCCGGCCGACACGATGGGCGGCAGCTTCTCGCGCTCCGGCTCTTTCCCTTTCTTGTCCTCCGGGGCGGCCGCCGCCACCGCCGGCGGCGCGGCGGGAGAGGGTTCCTGACCGCCTCACTCATGTCGGGTCGGGCGGCAGGAGCGCGAGGCGGCGGTGGCGGCGGCGGCGGCGGCGGCGGCCGGACGGCTGCTGGGGCTGGCGCTGCTGCTGTGCTGACCGCGAGAGGGCTCTGGGCGGCCGCTTCCAACCGCCGCCGCCGCCGCCGCCGCCGCTCCGCGCGCGCTCCCGCCGCCGCGCGCCCCGCCTGCCGCCCCCGCGTGCGTCCTGTTCGCGGACTGGGCCGTGCGCCGCTCTTGCCGCTGTCTTGTCCCGGGCCTCGGGTCCCAGCCCTCCAGCTCGCTGTCCCCCCCGGGGTCAGGGGCTCCGGCCGCAGCCACCTCGTCAATCCCGAGGGCTCGGAGAGGATGCCCCCGCGGTGCGCGGCCGGTCGCCATGTTGTTTGCAGACTGTCGCTTGAGATGATGACGAGGGCTTGGATTCGGGGGCAACAAGGCGAGGCCTACAAAGGGTCGGGTGGGGATACGGAGTGCAGAGGTGGCGTGTATAGGGTGGGGCGGATGCCCTGGCCTGAGGGTGGGCGCAGGGCTGGTGGCCTTTGTCTCCCCGGTACCCACAAAACTGCCCTGCTTGGGGTCGCTGGCTGCTCTTTTTTTCCCTGCCCTCTATCCTGCCCGCCGTCTTGGGGACACAGCCTTTCCCTTCTAGGTCCTCTAATGGCCTCCACCTACGAAGGAAAAGCTGGGGTGTGGAGGAGAGGGCGATTTCGTGCCCCCACCCCCACGCACACACATAATAGGGCAGGACAGCTAGGCCACATTTTCCATTTCGGTTCCTCTTGTCCCTATTGGCTGCCAAATCCGCCTCGCTCTTCCCGTTCCCATGCGCCTACATTTCGCTCTCTTCCCCCATCCCTGTGCTGCCTCCTATCCCTGTTCCCTTCCGTTTATAAGTTACAGATGGACATACCCAAACTCTGCTGCATAATCCTTAATAGCAGATCACTATAAAATATGACTAAGAACAATTTTCATCATGATATTAAAATATCCCCACCTCCACCGCCAGAATACGTAGACAAGTAGGCAATTTCCTTTCCTTTCTCCTCGCCCCCTCTTCCTTTTCTCAGTCTACTGGAGTGGCAGAGACACCTGCTGATCCAAGGGAAGGGAGAGAGTAAGAAGGCACTGTGCCGCTTATTTAAAATAGAGAATTTCTCGACATTCATTCAGGTCTTCGGGTTTTTAGGTGAGGCTTTATTAGTTTGTTCTGATCCAAGATACTCTGTTCCAAATACAAAAACCAAAAATACCTCTGAAACCCAAAGATGATTTCGGGGTATCTGTTGTTTTACATAATTCGGAGTTGTTAGTACAACTAACACCTAGTTACAGTTCTTTATGAGATGGGGTTTGATTTTGATGCAGGTTCTTCAAACCCGGAATTTGTAACAAGCAGATATGAAGCAAGTAATATAAGGATTATGATAGCTAGTATTCTGTATTGCCTTCAGAATGATACATTCTGACGTTCATTTGTAAGGGAAGGTTTTTTGGTTTTAATATAGTTGATGTTACCACCTACTTCCTTGTTAGTTAATGGAATAAATGTCATATATTTAACAAAAAGTATTTTAGTACTAATTATCTTTGAACAGAAATGATGTATACAGACATTAGTTTGGAACATCCTCCTTTCTTTTTCTTTTTTTTTTTGCCCTGAATTCTTTTTTCAGAATATATATTCCATGGAGAGAAGCATACTATTATTTTCTACTTTTAGCAGGTCATCATGCTGATCGTTGGTAAAGCAACTCAATGTCAAAGCGTGAAGCCTTTGTTTGAAATACAATTCAAGATATTTGTGCTGCTAAGTCTAGGTTGGTACAACTAATACTAGGGGGAAAATATTCTCTCCTGTTATTTCCAACTGGATTTAGTGACTTGCTCTAAAAATGCTTGGATCAGAAACCACTTGGATTACATGCCTTATGCTTTTACTTTTCAAGTGTGAGACTAAATAAAAGTTGTCTGTAGATGTAGTCACATTCAAATAGAATAAAATGCTTAAATATTGGCAAAACAAAGCAAGTCAGAAATGTTAATTTCTGCTACTGCACCAAAGTAGATAACACAATTCAAACAAGTCCACTGATTAATTCATCTGTGAGTTCTATATCAAAACTAATTAATTTGTCAGTGTTTGTTTTTACTTCCTATTGAGTATATTGCTGTCAAGTGACCACCCATTTCCTCTTTTGTACAAGCTCCAAGATGGAGAGTTGGAGTGATAGCTTTGGGGCAATTTGTGAGTTTGAAAGAAAGACATTCCCAACTGCTATCTACCAGCTGCTGAGGACCCAGGGGGGACAAAGAGATGGTTGTGGAGCAGACCATACAGAGAACTCTGGTGTGGAGAAGATGCTTTTCAGCTATGCCATGTGTGGCATCCAAGCATAAAATCATTAGCCTTGGAAAAAGCAAGGATGAGGCAAGAGAAGTACTACAGTTTGCCTAGTCCAGATGGAAAACCCATCAGTCAGCTTTTCCATCTGGATTTAGGAAGGTAAAATACTTAAGGGGAATAGGGTTCTGGGGTGCAGAGTCGGGTTTAGAGAGCTCATTATTCCATAGAAGAAAAAGAAAAACTGAATTGCAAGGTAATTGGAAAGCCCAAATTATAACTTCTATTTTAATTAGATACTGTAATACTAATGTAGTGAATAATAGCAAAGTAGGTTCTGACAGATTTAAGAATGGCTTATAACTAAGAAATAATGTAAGTTATTTTTAAGAAAACATGTTTTTCACATTTCAATTGAGTATTGTCCTAAAGTAGTTCTTTATTGAAAAATCAATATATTGTCATTATAGGAAAAATACAAAATACAGATTAGCAAAATGAAGCAAATAAACACTGGATCCTGCTCAATTTAGATATTTACTAAGACTTTGGTCTGTACCTTTACAAAATTTCCCATAACTTTCTTCTTGTACATATACATATGTGTAAACACTGTGTTTCATATTTTGTTTTTATAAAAACAGAACATTTTTAAACACAGCAGAATATGTGCAAATAAGAATATAATCAGTGATGTGACAAATCTTTATCCTTAGAGGATGATTTTTTTAAATTGTTCAGTGTTAATCAGAGTCAAGACTAAAGAATGGAATGGATAACCAAGCTTCATATTTTATCAGTTTTTATTAGTGTATATTAATTGTACAAAATAATGGGTTTCATTATGACATTTCCACACATGTATATAAAGTACTTTGATCAGACCTCTCTTCTCTTTTTTTTGGTTTTTTTTTGCACTGCTGGGGATCAAACCCAGGGCCTTGAAGCATGCTAGGTAAATGTGCTACCATTGAGCTATATCCCCAGCCAATCAAACCTTTCTTGAAGCTGTTCTCTGTCTGGATTTCTGTTGTCACTGACTTTGTTAGGACCTGCAACATCTCCAACCCAGGTTATATCCCTAGTCTGCCAACAGCTCTTGCCTTCAGTTTTCTTACCTGCTGAAATTGCCACCACAATGACTTCTTCAAAGTTATGTAATTCCCACTCCTTTATTTGAAAGTACTTCAATAGTATTTCAAAGCCTTTATAATAAAAAGTCTGAACCCCCTGGTATGGAATTCACCTGAATTCTTTGCAAAGAAGGCATTTTCATAATGTCCTAATTAGAATAATTTTTTTCTCTCTGCTCCTTGAACATATTGTACACACTTATGTTACATACACTAATTGTGTTTCATCTTAGTTATGTTTCCCTAATAAAGTCATGGCAGAGAGGAAAAGTACCATGTCTAATTACTCCTTGAATCCTTGCCTATACCATACCACCTGGATTATTCTATTGAGGGACCCTGGAGTGTGCTGCTGAAGCAATAAATGAAAGAAGATATTTCCTTAATGTGGCTTACGAAGGGCTCTTAGACCATTTCCAAAGAGGAATTGAAAACACTCTGAGTGATAAACTACACCCAGATGATTTGGTTCTGGTATTGTTTCCTGAAACTCTTGATCTTACAGAGCAGTGCTATCATTAGAACTTTCTGCAATGCTAGAAATGCTCCGTTGAGCCACAGATAATCACATGGCTTTTGAGCACTTGAAATGTGGCTATTACATGCAATTAGGAATTTTGATTTTGTTTTTATTTAACTTATATCTCAGTAGCCACATGTGACTTCACCAATGGACAGTACAGCTCTAGTGTTGCATCTCAGCTACAAAAGACACCTCTGAATTACTAGCACCTTAACTAGTGAGAGTCACTGTATCTTAACCTCTTTTTTCAGAATATATGCAAGCTAATCTTCACCAAAGTAATGAGGGCAGTTCTAAAATAGCTCTTATAACAAGCCTAAAAACTACATAGTTTCTTCCTCATTTTTAATACTGTTTTCAGAAGAGTTTGCATTTATGGGTGAAATGAACTACATTTAGATAAATCTTATTTTAGCCCACTGCTATAGAGAAATGTCCTAAACTAGAAGAAAATACTAATAGTAGTAAATACTGTAATGGCTATCTATGTTGTCAAGTTGATTTTGGATACTCTCTTTAGACACAACCAATGGATTAAATATATATATTATATAATTTAATATATAATCAATATATAGTATATAAAGACATATATTCAATATACATAATCAAGAAGAATATATTTCTTTTCAAGCTGTATATATATATGTATATATAACTAATGTATACTTAAAAGTTTCTGTTTGATAAACTAGTTCTACAGAAACGTGAAATTCTCCTAATAGTCTTACCTAGATATATTGAGAACTTGTAAATCTTAACTCTAGTTCTAAGTATTTCTTACTCATGACAGATGAAACAGCAGTGAAATAATAAATGGCACATCAGAAACATCCTGTGCATGGTATACCTATTTAAAATTTTCTTGAGAGTTAAAAAAAAAATCCCTGTATGTTCTAAGGTTACCTGAAGATACCAAAATGAATCAGAATGACAAACGTTCATCTTTAGTCTTGTTAAGAGAACCCTGATTTGGAGTTGACCCAGAGTGGCTCAAGTGGTAAG